TTTTTTTATTTATCAAAAATCTAGCATGCAGGTAAAGCAAATTGGGAAATGGCTTTATCTCTTTCTTGGGAAATTAGAAAAACACATTTCATTGGTGAAAAGAGAAGCAGAGGGGAATTATATTTTCATTAGTAAAAACAAATTTAGAAATGAAAATAGAGAAAATGAACCTGCTGTGTGGGTTAGGATTATAAAATTTGTTCCGTCATAACAGGTGATCTGGTTTGTTTTTTTGCTAAGACAGCGACTGGGCCAAGGATGGAAAACAGCATGACTCTTTGTTGAGAATTTAGGTAAACAAATTGGGAAATAATTTTTATCTATCACTTGGAATATTAAAATGAGAAGATGATCTGGCTTAATTTTTACTGGACAGGTGGGTCCATGAAAAGAGTCAGAAAATTGAAATTAATGAGGAGAATACGCACTTAAAAAATTAGATTTGTCACAAAGACATGCCAGCCTTGAGAAGTAGGCAGAGTTTGAATACTAAAGAGGAAGATGCAGAATTTAGCCCTGTCTCTGTGGTAGCACAAGATGTGAAGTGAAGCAGGTCGGAGTTGATGTATAAACAATCCCTCTGGCTACTCCCAAGTAAGGTGGATAATTCTCCAAATTTGGAAAGTTGATTAAGAAAGCAGAAATAGAGAATAAAGAAAAAACTTTATTGGAATTAATGACAATTGGGGAATCACCAAATCCCTAGTACCCTTCAACCCCATGCCAGTTTTTCATCTGCTTATATGACTGAAGTGCATATACAGATGACTTCAGGGATCTCAGAGACTTGGGCTGAGAAACCCATATCAAATGCCTTTGAAATCCATGCTGTCTGCCACCAGATTTTCTGATTCCAAAGAACTTTAAATCCAGAATTTTGGACAAGGGCCAGTGTCACTATATAGATTGATATAAGAAGGGTTAATTTTTGTTGTACAAAGAGCCGTATAAACTAATTGAAGATTAACCCATGAATCTCTCATTTTATTTTTTGGTGTGAAGATAATTTTTTCCTTAATGTAGCACCCACAACCAACACTGCAAAACTACAACCTTCAATTTTCCACTGCTTTGAGATCAAGAACACAGCTTGGGCAAAGTTGGTGTGGATCAAAGTGAACAACAACCACTGACCAGCTTGGACCAGCATCAGACTTGGTTAAAATGTTGACAGGACCATTAAAACGTGGGTAAACCACTTGGTGTAGGCAGTGACAAAAAGTGTTATAGTTGGCCAACGAATACCAAATATTTCCTTATAAGGAAATGGCTAATATTACCATTACAATCAACTTCTTTTAACCAAGTGTTTTAAATTGGAAACATTTGCTAGTCAGTAATAGTATCTGCTAAGCAAGCAATTGTATCTTACTTTTTTGATTTTATACCACCTTTGTGATGATAAACCATCATCTTTCATTATATCCATCTGAGTAATGAATCTATTTCCAATCTCCTACATGCCAGTTTCAGAAAGTTTACACTCTTCTGATAATTGTAGGTAATCAGCAATGCTGTCATATGACCAGCTCACTAATACTTGAGCTCTATGCCAGGTTTTGGCCAACAGACTTCTTGAATTACCACAACTGTACACAAAGCTAAAAGTTATCTAATATTGCACTACATAATGTGAAACATTGGAAAGAAATGTTTGCCCGAGAAACCTGTGAATGTTTTTTTTTTTTACTTGTGTTTACATATTTTCTGTCAGAAATAATAATAGAAAAAGAAAAAAAGCATTCAATTTGGTAAGAACACTCAACACAATCACATGGCTATAAACAAACTATTAATAACAAAGAACACAGATGTTTGTACTTTTGTTTGTGTTAGTGTGGAATTCAGAATTACTAATTTTAAACCTTGTTTCGGCACTGATGAGTTTGGTTTTCTTCATTAGTAGAATTCAGTTTCAAGTACATTTGGTCTCTACAGATCATTATGCAACATACTTTATATCTGAAATACTTCCTTTACGTGTCATGTCTCTTCAGAATATGGGTGACCATGGCTTTCCACAATCAAGATTACCAGTAAAAACAAAGTAAAATGTTCTAAAAGTAATTCTTGTCTGTCATTTCATTAAAAGAAAAAAAAAATGATAATAGGCCAATTTAAGCAATATCACGTTCTTTTAGTGAAGAGAAAATTTTTTGCATATAAAGTGATGGTTGTCTTGTCAAAGTAAAGACATTTGAAGAAATTATGTTGAAGATCTATGAGCCTACTCAGTGTTTAAATAGGTGGCCCATTAGGAACAGTAGATACTGTCGTATGTCCAGAAGTCGCTTTCTGTCTGCAATCCGTCTAGTCTCGCCGAAGCCTAGAAAAGCAGTGACCTCCCACGTCCACTCGCCGGGTTTTTAATCGGTAGCGTGGTTCTCTTTATGCAAATAAGTCTGCTGCATAAAAATGGCAGTAGGCGTACGCGCGACCGACTCTCAGAGAATGGTTAAACACCGCGAGGCAAGCAATTCGCTTTGCTCCTGGTAAGTCACTGTCACTCCTATTACACTCCCCCCTGATCGTATGATCACATAAGTGACAGTGAGGGGCTGGTCGTTTCACCCTTGCACTTCTTCGCGGTGGTATAACCATGACTTCCTCCCGGCTGAATCGTCAGATGTGTCCTGGTCTGAATCATATTCCGGGGATCATTAAGGTTCAAGTCTACTTCTTTCTCGCTTTCAGATGAGGTGTCGCTGCTGCTTGCACTGGAGCTTGGTTCTTGCCATTCATTACTCCCCTGACGTTGTGCCACCGCCATCATCCGTTGGTAACAATGAAGTGAGCCGTGGACGTACATCTCCCTGTGTCGCGGTATCCCGTCGATGACTACAGATTGCGGACTGTTTATTCCCGTGACACGACCTTTCACAAACTTTGACGTGCAGCGTCCGTGCGGATTTTTACCCAAACTCGTCTCCTTCTTTATACCGAGTCGAAGTCGCCCGGTTAGGCGAAGGCACAATGTCAATTCCTTTTACTCGAATTCTGTAATGAATGCAGCAGATTGGCGGGCGCAGAAGAGGCAGACACATCATCCCTGGGTGTAACGTTATACCAATACACGGCCTCCATAATAGAGCAGCTCTTTCGCGCAGCAATCCGTTTGATTGTCCGATGACACCTCTCTACAATACCATTTCCAGATGGTTTGTACGCAGACGGTCGGAATGGACGCCCCATTCTTCCATGAATTGTTTAAATTGCTGACTGCGGAATGCAGTGTCATTATCAGCCAGGATTTCTACCGGGGCACCACGTTAAAAAACACCGACTCCAATTGCCGGATTACGTGTGCAGCGTCTTGCCGAACTAGTGGTCGCCAGATCGAAAACCGTGTGGGGCGCAATCGATCAGAGTCAAAAAATGGCGACCGTTATAGTGTGTAATGTCCATTCCCAGACGACTCAAGTTTCACGCGACACTGAGCTCTCCTTCTGCCATCGCACAGAAGCTGGATCTATTGACTGACACTGTTCACAACTTCGAGCGACCGATCTTACTGCTGCTTTTCGACACGGACGGGTTGATCCTACGTGTGAAATATAGTGTCCGTTTAACTCCAGGGTGCCCGCTGTGTCGATGAATCTCAGTTAACTGAGCAAGGCTCTGGTTTCCTACAGCAGAAGCACATACTGGTTGAACAGGTTCAAATTCCTTCACATTGTTGAACCACTTCTGGGGAACTCTCGTCAACAAGTCAGCTCGGTTCTGGTCGGATCTAACTAGCGCTATGTCAGCGGAAAGTTTATACTCTTTCACAAGAGACGTTAGAGTTTCAAGTCGTCGCCTTATGAGCATCTCGCTTAGCGGCCCTTGGTGTTCAGCCGAGACTTTCCCGTAAGGGCATTAGTCACCCAATGGTACACGCAGAGGAGTCTGTGTTCACATGTAATACCGTAGCCTGCCATTTTAGCGCGAGGTTGATTCCCTTCAGTACGGCATCCAGTTCAGCCACATTGATATGCTGGGTGTTTTTTATCGGCCGTAGCCAGCATGCGTCCTCGATGATAGCTCCCTTAGCCTCGGCGCTTCTCCGACAGCCAGCGAACTCGCGTCCACCCACACGTCTAGCTCCTTCGTATTCACGCACCATTCTCCTGTGCAGGATCCAGTTGCTGAGCCCGGGCAATGGTGTCCGTTATCGCCACGTTCCAGGGAGCATCACAAATTTTGTCGTCCCAGTTCTGCGTTACGGCAGTGGCTCGACGTTTGATGACGCCTGTCGCCACTCGCAGCCATCCACACACGGGAAGTGTCCCACCAACCGGCCCACATGGAGAAAATACCTCTCCGTGTCATAGTCATAGGGCCGTCTACCATTCTGCTTCCTCGTCGCCATCGCAGTCGACCCTGTTCCTTCCATACTTCTAGCCCCAGCACTCTAGCTCCGTCCTGTATGATTGCCGAGCTCGGGCCAATAGCTCCTCGAGAGACATATCATCCGCCCCTGGCCGAGGACGCAGGAGCCTTTCACAGGATCAGGAAGCCCCCACGAACACGCATGCCATCGCACTGTCTGGCACTCCTCCAAAAGGACGGAGAGCTTCCGTAGATCAGCCAAATATACATCTACGGTCTCACCGGACGTAATATACGTGCCTCGAATTGTTCGTATGCCGTGAATTTATCAGGGGCAAATGCAGTCATCAATGCTCCCTTGATTCGAGCCACGTCCGATTTCTCTTCCGTAGATAGTTGCTGGTAAACCGCGAATGCTCCCTGGTTAGCGAAGGGGATGACACGATCAAGCCGCTTCACTCCCGATAGGTCGCACACCAATTCAATTTCTCGAGCCATTCAACCACAGATCCAGTCCGTCAAACTCGGGAATTATCTTTAAATCAAACCGCCGTCCATGTTTGCGAAATAGCTTGTCGTATGTCCAGAAGTCGCTTTCTGTCTGCAATCCGTCTAGTCTCGCCGAAGCCTAGAAAAGCAGTGACCTCCCGTCCACTCGCCGGGTTTTTAATCGGTAGCGTGGTTCTCTTATGCAAATAAGTCTGCTGCATAAAATGGCAGTAAGGCGCCGCAGCGACCGACTCTCAGAGAATGGTTCGACACGCGAGGCAACAATTCGCTTTGCTCCTGGTAAGTCACTGTCACTCCTATTACAGATACTATATGCAGACTGAAGCCATTGTGACTGAATATCTTCTATATGTTGTGCCTCTTCAGGATGTGGGCAATCATGGCTCTCCACAATTTCCTCTTTTGTCACTCTTAGTAAAGTTTGACTTTTTGCAATCCTAATCCCAGTTCTATCAACCATTTACACAAGCTCGTTAAATAGGTTATTCACTGCTTTCCTCTAAATCTCTAGCCTTCAATATATATTAATTATACATGCCTTTTTTTTACCATTTTCCCTAAAACTTCCTTATTACTCACATGTTCAGTGCAATGTATTCTCAGCATCATTCTGTAGGACCATATTTCTGTTATCTCAAATCTCTTAACTACTTGCTCTATATATTAATCAATCTTTAGTTATTAAGTGATGCTCCCTGTAAAATCCAGTATTAACTCTTTATATGCCATATCCCCTCAAGATGAAAGTGATCATGTCTCTCCACAATTTCCTATCCTTTGTAGCTCTTAATAAATTTTATTTTTTATTATTTCTCCAAAAGCCTGTTCCACCATTTATTTACTCAAGCTCACTACGTATGTTATGCGTCGTTTTCCTCTGTCCCTCTTGCTTTCAATCTGTCCTGTGAGTGTCAGATTTTTCTTCCCTCATTATTTGCCCTAGAAATTTCAACTGTTTCTTCCTGATGAGTATAAGTTTCCTATTTGTTTCCATTTTCTCTAAAACTTTGTCCTTGTTCACATATTCTGTCCATGGTATCCCCAGCATCCTTCTGTAGAACCATATTTCTGTTGCTTTAAGTCTCTTATTTATCTTTGAAGAGATTGTTCAGCATTCACTGCCATATAGGCAGGCATATATCACATAACAGTTCAGTATTCTTTTCATTGTTTCTAACAAAGTTTCTGTTTCTTAATACCCTGCTTAGATTTTGGAATGTATCTTTAGTTATTCCAATGTGTCTTTAGATCTCGGTGTCACATTTGACATTTTAACCATATTCAAAATCTAATGGACTAATTATCACTAATTTTACTTTAAGCTAGTTCAATAAATTTTTATTAATAAGTTGAAGAAAACTATTAATAAAAATACCAAATTTCTATTTCTGAGTAAAACTTGCTAAACAATGTTACTATCTTTATCAGAAAATAAATCCTAAAACAATTAGAAAAAAACAAATTTTAAGAAACTCTATAGAAAAATGAATGAAACATTGTCATTGCGTTCATTTGTGTTTATTGTAGTTTATTTGTGGCTTAATCAAAGTAAACAAGAATGAAGAAATGCACACACATACCAATTCCAACCACAGAAATGAACTAGAGGGGAATTAGTCTCTGGACTATAAGATTTGACTCTCTTTATCAATTCTTGATCACACTTAAGATGTCTCTTTTCTCCCCTTCTACTTCTCTTTCCAATGGTGCTTCTTCCCTCTTTAACTCTGGCAATCACAAAGCTCTGGTCATTGTCTATAAAAACTCTCTCTTCACTTATTCAATTTATTTTAAGGTATCATGGTAAGTAACACTTCCTCCTCTCATCATTTATTCAAATCACATATATCTACATTAACTTGCTGTTTAAAATTATTTTCTGTTCCTTTAAAACAAATCTACATTGACTGTACTTTCAAGTCTATTAGACATTGATCCGTTCATATTTCTGTTACAATGAAAAATTATAGGCTATTAACAATATTAGTATGACTAGTTAAACTGAAGACCAAATTTTGACATGGTTAGAATCTCTCTTACTGTAGAGAGGAATGGTTCATATTGTTGAGTAATATTAATTGATAGAATAGTAGACCAGTGTATACATTAGAGTTTCCTCAAACAAGAGAGTAGGAATGAATATAGAAATAAACAACATATTTTATTGTCTGAGCAAACTATTGATAAGTGGAAAGAATGCAAAAAAAATGGTGAATGAAGGGGTTCATGTAAAGAAGAGTTCTTTATTGGTTCAACAGAATTATTAGATATGCTTGTGTATAGTAAAGTAAGCCTAGAACATTATATGCTGTACACTATTCTGTGTTATTAAATTCACTGTTATACCAGTAATACTTGGTTCCTAGTAAGGAATGAGATTCATTTTATCTCTTAAACATCCTGTATGTAAACAGAAATAAAGAGAATAAGACTTTTGCATTCTTTTCTTTTGTATAAAAGAAAAGAATGCAAAAGTCTTTGGTAATGCCATATAGTAGTCATGAGCTGAAGTTCTTCAGCAGACAAGTGGGGTTCTTTCATATTACAACTGGGACTTATGTTGATTTTTTTTTTAAATTCAGGTAAAATATAAGAGTTAAATAAAGTTGAGTGTAAAAGAACAGAAAATTGGAAGAATAATATTGTCCTCAGAATTAATTGATTTTTATTTCATAGCTTATCAACTTTTTGTTGTTTATTTAAAGTTGGAACATATTTCAGATTGTAGGAGATTACTTACAGCACCCAAAGTTCCTCAGCAATCTTCCAATTAAGTATTATCTGGGCTCAACGTTGATTAACTTTAGTGACCGAACAACCATTTGTGTCTTTTGGGGTGTTTTTTCTTTTCTATCAAGATTAGAGAAAAAATTACCATTTAATGATATAATTTTTGATATTTATTAAAATCTTATGAAATTTATATACTATCTCATAATAGTTGATAAATCTGTATGCATTTTTTATACATTAAATGTGACAAGTGTTATGGGACAGAGACAGTATTATTTTTCTATTTTTAAATTGCAACAATGAAACTAAGGTGTTTCAGTTCAAGTAAGTATTAAAGTGCTCAATATTTGGAAAAATGAACAGAAAGTATGACCCATGTAGATTTTAATGGACCTTTTTATAATAGTTACCATAACCCAATGAAGTCTCTAACCTAGCTCTAACAACTTGGCGGGAGGAAAAACTGCCTGATCACATTCAGTGCCTTCAAAACTAAACTAGTGACATGCAATCATATATTGAGGGAACCTTGAATTTTTGCCAATCACGATGAATAGGTTTTCTCTCAGGGAGGCCCAGTGCTTGGAGCACATACTGGGATTAAACTCAACCCAGATCTCGTGTGTAATGTGTACATGCAATCCACTGCTAAAGAGGCTGGAAAACTTCTTAGTTCCTTGTACTGCCCCCATAAGTACATGACTCCAGTTATTCTCTACATTTACAAGAGCCAAATTAAGACAAAAATGGAGTACTACTTCACTTTCCAGTCTTGATAGTCAAAAGGTATCTATGCAGCTTTATTTCCCACCCTACAACCTCTTTCCCACAGATGAAATGTTGCAAGCCTCTCACTGTTCTATCGCTATTTCCATGGAAAGTGTTCAGACAAACTCCATTTTTTAGTTCCACCAGTTTTAACCTCCATCTTTAAAATCCATCATGCCCTGCACATTCTCTTCTTATTCGATTGAAGATATGTAAGTTCCACTATGTGGAAGCAAATTTTAAGAGGATGTTTCCCTGATCACGACAATCTTAACTTATGTAAATCTAGAGTTAATCATTATCTTCCCCATATACCCCCGTAAAGTATACCTCTTACACTGTTACCCTCTACCTCGAGTGGCTCTTGGGACTTGTACAGGGTGAAGATTATTGTAAAAATAAAAAAAATCAGAGAGTTGTTAATAATAGCATTGTATAAAATTAATTTCAGTTTTCTTTGAAAATCATTTCTTGTTTTTAAATAGGAGAAAACATTCATTGTGAAGACAAATGAAAAAAAAATATTCAAGCAAGATAATACCAAGCCAAATGAAAAGCCTTATTTTACACTTTGTGTATATATATATATATATATATATATATATATATATATATATATATATACACTCTATGTTAATCTGGCCATCTCTTCTAACACTTATATATTACCAATGTTCCAGACTGACCTACTCAAAAATAATTGAAATGTTCATCTGGTTGATAAAAACATGCTTTGTAATTACATTACTCCTTAAAATAATTCTAGACTTCATTTCCTAACTGGACAGAGATATGATTCTTTGACAGTATTACCAACATCAGAATTGCAAAATATACAAGATAACATGTGCCTGGTAGTGGATATATAAAGAGGTGCTGAAATGTTCTCAGCCTGACCCACTTCCAAAAATTTTACCAAATATCATTTTTTTTTTCTTGACTGGTCTGAGAATTTTAAATTATTCCTCATATAACTTTCCATGACATGCAGGGAAAAACAATTTTAAAGGATGTATTTTGTAAATAGAAGAATCATATATATAAAGCATAACAGATATTGCATGTTACAACTTGAAAATACCAGACACAGAAAGGAAACTAGAAGAACTCCTGTAGAAGGTAGTGTTATAGACAAGCGTATGGTTGCAAGAAAGAAATACGACAACAGTAGAAATAGATTTACATGGTTTATTTCAACAGAAACGTAAGGGTTTAGGACAGCTACCTTGGTGTGGTAAAGTTCATCTAGGTCAACCTCTCATAGTAGTTCACACATGTTGATGGTCGTTGACGCTCCCCTGCTGTCAGCAGCTGGACGTGACAGGTCTCTATCCTGGGCACCTGTGGACTGACTGTTGAACTTCCGTGTGACCCCTTTTATAGCGTTTTTTTATGGCTTAACAGGCTCGAGAAACGAAGCGAGTATAATTAGGAGGGGAGCATTTTTATTAGACGAAAAATAGAGCACTTTAATTATTATTTTATTTTTCGACCAGAACATGTGTGTCGGAAACATTTGTAAAGAAAGTTAGTCATTTTGTGATGGGGCTTTGTCCCGTTCACATCCGGTTCTCGCTCTTGGGTGTTTGCCTGTAAATCAGCCGAGATATGTCTTATTTTATTTTATAACAGTAGTAAAGGAAAGTGAGAAGAAAGGACTAAACATCAATTGTAAGAAGACAGAGCGTATGGTTGTTAGCAAAAGGAATAGGCCATGATATGAACTATGAATTCGAGACACCAAAATCAAGCAAGTACAAAAAGTTAAATACAAATGT